CTCAAGAAGTCTTAACTGTACTTTGAGATGTAACCCCACTTAGTCCTTGGGACGACCGAGAAACTGAACAAACACTTAAGAGGCCGCTTACGGAGGTTACTATTTGCGGTAGTCAACGAAACTGTATTTCGGAGGTCGAGAAGGGGCACAGAGGAACTCAGCGGCACAGAGGGAGGACGGTAACGGATCCATGTATTTAGCTAGTTCAGAGAGAATAATCAACATGCTGCATAACAAGATAGAATGATAACACCTCTATCAGCTGACGCCAACAGTTAGGAACAGGGAGACACAACACTGAGAGCACAGTAGCCAAGGTTACAGATGCGCATGCTCAGTCAGGACAGTATGAACTGATCAACTGGGTCAAAGTTATGGGCCTTGGAAAATGTCTCCCCAACACATATCATAACTGACTTGAGGGTTGTTGTTTGTTTTTTGTATTAATTTGACACGACGATGTCATATAAAATCAGTACTTTTATTATATTTTGATACAAATTGTAGAATATAATCCAAAATGATATAAATAACTCTCTCAAAAACATGTACCGTAATTTTCGGACTATAAGCCGCGCCTTTCCCCCTATTTTTCGACGCTGCGGCTTATATAACGGTGCGGCTAATCTATGGATTTTTACAGCTAACGGCCAAAACCTTTAACTCTATGGGCTCTATGGCCGGTCCGCGGACCCCCACCTTTAAGCGGCGGGTTCCAGCAGGAAAAGCTGGAGGCCGGAAAAGAGTGAGACAGGTTGCGCGCAAAAGTAAAAGTGGAACCGAGAGTGGTATGCCGCTGCTGCGGCTTATATTCAGGTGCGCCTTATAGTCCGAGAAATTACGGTAATTAAAGTTTCAAAGGTTTATTTTTAAGGTGTTTAAACAATATATAAGTAGAATGCAAACTTCATTACACTTTGTTAAAAATAATTCTTGCAATAAATATATATTTTTGGAATAGATTAGTAATGATTTTAATTAACAAAAAGTAATTGACTATGTTAGGACTGTTTTTTGTTAACAGTCACATTATCCAGAGAATAATCCACTACGGTTTTCATTAGATCAGCTTTGAGTGATTGGGGAGCTCCAAGAGGGGAGGGGGGGTCCACCATGGTTAGTGTGTGATTCACTGTCACACACAGTATCTCTGGTATCCAACTATCATTTTCCTATATCTTGAATTGTTTGTATAAAAAGGAAACTGCAATCAGTCCAGATGTGTTTTTTTTCTTAGAAAATTGAACTGTTACATTAAAAACAATTAAGATTTGCTCTTTTAATTATTTAAGTTTGTTTTCCTGCTTCATTTTAGACATTTGAAGACTTTAAGAATGATAAGCAGGCCCTCGAGTACCAGCAGAGGATAGTGGACATCCTACTCCAGGTAAAATATATAAAGATAATTCATGTTCTGTGTGTATCTTTGATCTGATTGTTGATAGTAAAGAGAGGTTCTGTCAGTAATCTGACAGATCCATCCGCATTCACTGACCTTCTCTTGGTTGTTACTCTCTGTCACAGAAATTCCACAATTGAACAGGGCTGAACAGAAAACACAGTCACATGGTCCTTTTATGTAGCTAGATTACTACATTTGTATTTATATAACATATCCTACAACACACTAGGACTCACTTAGTTGGGTTTAAGAGGGCTTTTATTAATATCATATTCATGTTTTTATTGTCCCTGTCTTTTCTCTCTATCTTTCTCTTTGGTTTGATCATCGTCTCTGTCTCTCTGGTTACCTAGGTGATGGTGGACAACCCAGACTTCACTCCCTCCCAGGTGGGCGGGCTCTTCACCTTTTTGGCTCGTCAGTTGGCCAAGCCAGACAACACACTGTTTGTGAACAGGAAGCTCTTTGATCAGGTAACCAATCAGAGCCTGAGTCTTTGATCATTGATCATATGACCCTAATGGTTTCACTCAGAGAGGCAGTTTACTTTTTAAATGAATTTAGAAACAATGCAGTAATGTTTAGATAGTGGGGGCAAAAGCTTTCCCTTACTGCTTGCATGTACTTTAATGTTACTACCCCCACCTTGACAACTCTATCTACAGGAGGGGCTTTTAATCCACCTTATGATTTTAAGGCTTGCATAAAGGACTGTTAGTATCAAGGACCCCCTAATTCAATGCATGCCCTCCCTCACAAGTTTCACCAGACTCCTCCACTGTTGTATTATTCCTCCTCATCTTGACTCTGTGTCTGCAGGTGCTGGAGTTCCTGTGTTGCCCAGACGATGACTCTCGACACACTGAGAGGCAGCAGGTTGGTGACAGAAACAGAAAGAAGTTTTTCTCTCTCATCGTCAATTTGAGTATCCATGATTGTCCTGCTACTTTTATATTTATTACAAGAAAGATGTGTGAGATCCTGAAATTATGGGAGGCATAAAAAAGGTGAAATCTCAGTGGATATATATTGTACAATTGCAGGAAAAAGTATGTGAACCCTTTGGAACTACCTGGATTTCTGCATAAATTGGTCATAAAATGTGTTCTGATCTTCATCTAAGTCACAATAATAGACAAACACAGTCTGCTTAAGCTAAAACCACTTGTGTGGTTTTAGCTTAAGCAGACTGTGTTTGTCTATTATTGTGACTTAGATGAAGATCAGAACACATTTTATGACCAATTTATGCAGAAATCCAGGTAGTTCNTATGCACTGTGTGAACGATGCCATGATTTTTAGTGCAAGAATTTACCGTGAGCCATAGTTTACGTGACAGAGGACAGTAAATACGGAACTGACACACATACCACCGTCGGCTTGTGCTCCAAACCGGAGAGTGAGCACGTGTTATTGCGCACTGTCCATGTTTATCACGGGAGGAGAGGGAAGTGATTAGTATAAGAGTGATAAAATCTAAACATAATGGCGCGATATCATACAATTCGATAATTCAACACATTGAAGGCAATGAAGAGAGAAAACTTTATCTTCGGATCCCATTTGAATGTGCATGACGATTCACACATATGATGTTTGTCAATCTTAAAAAATCATTTCATGTCAGGGAAAAAGTCACAGGTTTGTCGTAAAAGCTGTTGAAATATAAGACTATTGAAAAAACGGCAACTAGAAAGACGTACAACCCAGTCGCGTTATGACTGTCCTAACGGTTTTCCTGCCACTAGTGAGTAGCTAAGATCAGCGCCATATAGATATCCGAATCGGAAAGCGTATTTATGGCGGATGGCTAAGATAAGATGAGACTTAAACCCATCCTGCATCATATGTATTCTATGTTATTGTAATTTGTTTTTCCTGCACCAATGTAGAGTCTTGTTGTGATGAGAGGGGATACACGGTATTTCATAAAATAAACGTGTCCCTGTGGGAGGGGGTCATAGCACAGAATTGATATCACAATTTAATCGGAGCTGATCACAAGTTGTCAGACTGATCCAGTCATCTCGGGCATGAGCGTTCGGCGCTGTGAATAAGCACAACTTGTGTTTACTTTTAGGCGTCTGAACGTATGGACAAGCTATCAAGCTACTATACATCACATTGAAGAACGATGCACGAGAATGAAAGTCGGAAACAAAGTATATTAATTTAAATGATGTATTGAATTTGCAATGTTGTTGAACAGGGGCAGTCCACAACAGTCACTACTTTGTAATGTTCGAATACCTCCCTGAAGCGTCACGATATCGGCTCTCACCCACAACCTCATATCGAGTTTAGCTACTGAATGTGCAGACGAAGTGATCTTAGGAAGGCAGATATTATAGCAAAAGATGAAGCGTAAACGACAAACGGATGGTTCTCTTTCCTGGTAAGGTCAACAGATGGGTCCTCGATGTACACGCGCCGGATCCTATGACGAAAATAATAGAATGCGCCAGTTGTCATGAGCTCGAATTGTATATGCAACACCCGGCGGGCGCACCACCCTCTGAAGAGCTGGAGCGCCGTGCTCTTCGACCACCAACCTGCTAGCCAAGCCCATCCACCTGCTGCAGCACACTGTTAGCGCGGGAATTCAAACAACCATACATACTGGAACTGATCAGCCCAAACAAATCTTGCTCTAAAACAGGATACCCTTACAGCATCCTTCACTTGGCAGGAGGCGTTCGGTTTGTCTCGGACTTGGCTTGATGCACAAGGCCGAGATTGGGCTTGAAATACCGAGTGTCAAGCGCCGAATGCTACATTGTGTGTTTCTGCTGGCGGCAGTCCGAGCAAAACCCGCGGAGAATGGCATGCATTTATGTCTGTGCGGCTTCCGGATGACTGGAAAATGCGGGTGGAAAGAAGGAGACCAATGGGATTCATGAAACATGCAAAGTTCAATAGGAGCATTCTCTCTCTGCTATGCAATGTGGGAAGGAGCCGAGAGAGGCGTGCCAGCACTGGAAAGGAGATTTCCTACACTTAGTTAACGCAGGACCAATACGAAAAAAACAGTATTATATCTCCTCCTCTTATTGATTTCGTGTGGAAAACCAGGCTGCCTTTACGAGTGCGAAGATAGAGGCTTTTATAAACATGTCAGAAGGGGGGCACTGGCCTTTTCCTCTCCCTGCTGGAAACTCATACGATAAAAAAAGACCCTCCAAATCTGCTGATGTAGTGAAATCAATCCCTCGGAAACGCCAGCTTACACTTGTCACGAAATGCAAAAAATGAACCAGTAAGGTACACCAGCAATTGTGGTGACCTGACGCTTATCGTGGAGAAATATGGCAAGAAACTCCTTTTACACACTGAAAGTAGATGGAACCCGAGCCAATAATTTCACCATATATGTAAATAATCTCTGTAATAATGTTATCACCAAGGTGCTTTCCAGTTTTTATGCAGATGATACTGTGGTAGTTTATGTTGTTCATCCTCTTGTCCTCCAGTCTGCCTTTGATGTTATTCCATCTAATTTATCTCAACTCAAGTTAGTATTAAATGCAGACAAATCCAAACTCATTATATTTTCAAATGGCAAAAAGTTAACTGATTTTCTCCCCAACATTTGTACTGTTCAAGGGACTGACATTGACATTGAAAGGGTCACTACATACAAATATCTAGGTTTTATTATTGATCAGAACTTATCTTTCAAGTCACACACTGAAAATGTTGTTTTAAAATTAGGTTTCTCCTTTCAGACAAGGAAACATTTGATCTCTGTAACGTTTTTACCTGGCGATCTGCTTTACATGAATGCCTCTAACCAGTGCCTAAAGACTTTGGATACTGTGTACCATTGCATTGTGCATTACGTTTTATTACTGGAAGGATATATATATTGTGAGTTTGGAATAAATATGCACTTTATGAAAATTATTAGTTGGTTACTGTTAGTAAAAACAGTTAGGTTAATAGCCTACTGGATGTTTGTTTTGCTAGTGGATCGCCAGGCCCTCTGACCTGATCTGAGGAGTCTCAGCTGTTCATATGAACAGGGCTCGACATTATAAATGGCCCGCTGGCCCGGAAGCACTATTTTTGACACCCCTGCCAGCATAACGTACTTCAAATCGCCCCACAGCTGTTTGCTGCGGAGCGCAGCGCGAGCAGTCTCCGGTGAGCGGGAGCACACTCATTCACTACAGTCAGTAGTGGGAACCGCAGTAGACAAAAGGCGTTGCTATAGCAACACGTCATGTTTATGTGAAAAGGGGTGGGGTCAATATGACCCGCTGGCGGAAATAGGTAACAACAACAGAGGGTGCTACATAGCACACTTTCGTGTGTGTGTGTGTGTGTGTGTGTGTGTGTGTGTGTGTGTGTGTGAGTGACTTGGCTTAATGAAGCGTGCAGTGCTGTGTGTGTGAGAGACAAGAGACTTTACAGCATGTGTGTGCCCCCCCGTGGTAAATGATTGCCCCCCCATTCGATTTGTTCTGGAGCCGACCCTGAGTGTATGGGATGATGCATTAGGGTCCTATGTAGTGGCTGATGGTGCAACTATGCAAAAATGAAAAGCACATTTTTAATAGCTGTCCACTGTAGTGACTTCTATGCGTGAAAGGGATAATGTCATAAATTAAGCCATTTCTGTACAATAGTGATGAAAAAGGGCTGGCACAGATTCCATGAGCCTTACCTCTGAGAGAGAGACTTCCTCCCTCCTGTCTCTGCAGCTGAGAGTCACTTCAGCTCTTCCTTTTATCCCAGTCAAACCCCTCATCCTCCCACAAGCTCGCTTTCAACAAAGAACCAGACCAGAGAGAGGCAGACTCAGCCCGTAAAGCTCCTCTCCCTAAACTGCCATCACTTCATTCTTTGTTCTTACTGACCTGTTACACTCTCCAAACTTTTATCCCTGTCTCAGTCATGTCTCTGTTTCTCTTCGATCCCCACCCTACAATTACAGAGAGATACACCACTTATTCTTTCCTCTGTTTGTCCTGAAAGCAAATCAGTTTCTATTCACTTGAGGACCAACTAAAACAGTGTGTGTGTGTGTGTGTGTGTGTGTGTGTGTGTGTGTGTGTGTGTGTGTGTGTGTGTGTGTGTGTGTGTGTGTGTGTGAAATGAAATAGGAAGTGTCAACAGCAGGTTTTTCCTTGTGTGCTGCCACCTAATCTCACGCATGATTAGGAGAGCAATAACACGACTGTCTGAGCAGGTTACCAAAATGTGGGCTCCTCTGTGTGTGTGTGTGTGTGTGTGTGTGTGTGTGTGTGTGTGTGTGTGTGTGTGTGTGTGCGTGCGTGCGTGCGTGTGGACACTTTTATGTCTACAAAACATATATTGAACCACTAACTGTGACATCACAACCAGAGTCTCTCTGTCTTTAACCTGTGCTCCTTTAGTTTTAAGTGTCCAATGTCCTTTTTCTATTATTTCTTGTTTATCAGTAATTAGAAAACCTTTGTTCGTCTTGCAGCGGGGAAATACGCGATGTTACAAGCAGCAAAGATGCAGTGCAGATAAAAGGCAAAAGGGAAAAGGAGGAGACTTACATATTAAATTAAAATGGCCGACCCGTGCAAAAGTGCTTCAACGTCGCTAAACATTTCCATTAGGAGAAACGGACTGCATATTCCAAAACTATGTAAATATGAAAAGTCAAATGTGCCAAAACTCATGCAAACGAGGAAAAATCTTCACCAACTTGTCAACATATGCACAGCGTTTACTAAAAGCACAGCATAAACGAAACAAATATATATGAAAACGCTGCAAGAAGCTCAAAACACAACAGAAAACAGGGGACACTAAAAAGTGACGCACACAGCTGGGATTAAAGCGCTTGTTGACTTTCAGGGATTATAAAGTTTGCTAATAAATAATTCTGGGAAATTACCTAAAAAGTTCTCTCATCTTATTCCAACAATGTGATCACATGATTCCTTCTTTGTTATTGCAGATCTGCTGTAAGCTAGCTAGCTAATGCTGCTAACCTATAGTCATTTCAAATATACTGTCAAAACACTTTGAAACAGACTAACTCTGCCAACAGGGTGTGCATCCCTTTTTAGTTTCAATGCTTTTGCACAACATATTTGTTACAGTGTGTGTTGCGTTGCTTAGTTTCGTTTTTTTACACCTGCTGCATCAAAAACCTCCGGCTTCACGTCACCTTTGACCTCCATCTGACCGTCCTGATTACTTCCTTTCACTTACATACACCCCCCTTTTTAAAAGCATGTCCCAAGTGGACTCTTCTCTAAAAAAGCTTGATTGCCCACTATTTGGATAACTAAACACAAACACACACACACACCATCAGGAAAGCGCTTTCTTACTTGACAAATGCTAATGGTTTCCACTCAGCCTGCTTTTACCTTAAATTGCTGCTCCCCTCCACCCCTGCTTCCTCTCTATCCCACCACTCATCCCTCCTCCTCTTCCTCCTCCTCACTCATACTGAATTTTCTTCTTCTTTCTTTCACTTCCCGCCTCGGCCCAGTCTGTGACTTCCCCATCGCGCTCCTTTTGACTGTAAGAGCTATGATGTACTTTGATGAAAAAGAAAAAAAATTGAGGGAGCAAAGAGAGCTTTTATGCTCAAGCATCCAGATGCAGGTTTATATATGTGTGTGTGTGTGTGTGTGTGTGTGTGTGTGTGTGTGTGTGTGTGTGTGTGTGCGTGCGTGTGTGTGTGGAGTGGGGAGGGACTGTCAAAAAGCAAGATAACAGCTCATCTGAAGTTGTGGAGTAGAGCGCCCCCCTGTGGTGATGTTTGGCTTGGATTATAAATAACAATGTATTGATCTCAAAGAAACCAACAAAAACTCTGATTAGTTCAAGTGCTTTTCCCGTTTGCATGTTTCCAACATACCAACGATGTGTACCATCATATGTATAGTAACAATAGTATTGTTATTTATTTATTTATGTATATTTATCTCTATATATATACAGTATATATATTGTTTTTTTTTCAATTATTTATTGTTTATATTTCTTATATTTGTATGGGTTTTTTTTTTTTTTTTTATGTCTATAGTCCATGTGCCCTTTGTGTCAATAAAGACTTGCAACAAAACAAACCAAGATATTAAATAGTTCAGATGGTAAATGTACAATATAAAACAAAAAATATACCTTTCTCTTCATTTGCATATTATAGTGGATAGTGATTGGGATGAGAAAGATGAATGTAATATTATATTATGAGAAATAAACAGAACAGCAAAACAACCTTTACAACAGAGAGATGTTGAAGAAACTGTGCAGCTATAGGCCTAACATTGAGAAACTAGGACAGACATGTATTCATACAGTTGAAGTTACAGGGATAGTGCACATCAGTAGACATTTCTGTAAGTGTTCCACTTTAGCCGACAGCTAATTATCCACCTTGGCTTACTCTCAGTCCCTTGGCAGGTGTAATGACAGCTATGACATCCAAATTAAAAAAAGATCTCTTTTTATACTAAAAGCTGTGCATTTGGCACGGCCTGATTGTGTAACAGCGTATAAAACCAACAGGGATGCTGCAGGAAGTGGTCGAAGTGATGTCTGAGGTTTGAATCTGCTTCTGAACTCAGGTGAATGAAACAAGTGTTTTCATTAATAATGTTAATGTATTGCTTTTAAATCCAATTTGTTTAGGTTATTAAAAAAAACATTACTATGGATAACACTACCACCATTTTAGTGTAGACCAGTGTTTCATATCCACGTTTTCTAAGATGATGACCCCGACTAACATTAAGTGACATATTTCATGGATATGTTATATAATATTCAATTTACAACAAGAGAAGCACCTGATACACTCTACCATTAATCCAATAGTGAATTACAAAGAAGTGTGTGTAAAACAAGCAATTCTGAACAAATTGTTTCCAGTTTTCTTCAGTGGGTTTTCTTTCACAGATATGAATGGCATCCTGAGATATAAGCCAACTGTTCATATATTTTATATATTTTTTTAATATCTTAAATCCCCTATATCAAGAAGGACTTGAAATCGATGTGAATTTATTTGGATCTTATAATTCATGTAACACATTCCTACAAATGTATTTCTGTTCAATAGTATGACAACAATTTAAGAAAAACGTAATTTACTGTAATATCCCACCATATCAGGATGGGCTGGGTATCATGTGAAGCCTGCTCTGTGCACTGAACCAGACTGACACTGGTGGTAGGTGTGTACACACTCTGCACACACACTGCGCACACACACACACACACACACACACACACACACACACACACACACACACACACACACACACACACACACACACACACACACACGCAGCTCAGTATTACCTCGAGGCCATGGTGGGTTAATCTGGCTGTAAGTAGGTGGGTGCATATTTGCAGCTGTAAAACATCACATTACCTGACATACTGTATGTACACATTATTATACAACTCTGACCTTAATTCTGAAATGCCAAAGAGTGTTTGATAACATCAGTTCAGTTTCTTTCTTCACATTTCTCATCTCTCTCCTTTCATTTCCTCTCTTCATTTCACTGTCGCTGTCCATTAAAGGCAACATTCACTTCCTTTGAAATCTGTGCTAAAACAATACTGACAAGCCCATCTGCAATGGAATAGTGTTTGGGTTGCAGTAATCATTGCTGCTGCAAAAGCATCCTTTACTAAAGTGAATTTGATGTAAGGGATAGGGGATAGAGGCCTCGTTCTGTGTAGAGATGTTTCCTTGCTGGGCTGCAGGTCATATAAAGACACAAATAAGAAATGTTGGGCTTATAAGTAATTTAACTCTTGAGGATAACCGCATTTGTCTCATCAGACCGCTGAAACGTCATAGTTAAAAAAAACTTTAAAAATCATGCACAAAATATATTTATGATTGATACTTAAATTGAAATTGTTTTTCATTAAAGGAATCACATCACTATGTTACACTTACGCTTCTATTGGCTAGCGCTCCAACACAGTGTACGCATAGGCTAAGGGGCGGGACATCTCTAAAGGTTGACCAATCACCACAGAGCCGGCCAGCTAACCAATCAGAGCAGACTGGGCTCTGGTTTCAGACAGAGGGTGCAATAATACAAATATGAACCTGAAAATGAGCATAATAAGGAAAGGTAATTCTCTTCAGAAACACTTTTTGTTATATTCCATGGAATGCTCTTAACATCCCGATGGCAATGAATATATTAAATGCTTTGACAATAAATACATTAAAAAAAATTCATCTGTGGAAGCCGGAGCGCTGTAAAAAGCACGACCAATCATCTAAGCCGGCCCAGCTAAAATAACTGGATGGCCTACCTGCCTGTCAGCCTTGTTGCACAAACTTATCTCGTGCTCCCTCATTGGTCATGTGCGCGTTTGTGTGTGTTGGAGGAGGGGCTCTGTAAGGAAGTCTGAAGCTCTGAAGGAAGGGGCAAATTTTTTCCGGCTGTGTACTTTCAAATTCTAGCTTACTCGAGCTGGTTTCTCTATTCTTTCTTACCTACCCTACCTTTAACTTGAATTCCTTTATTGTAGGCTACATCTGCCTTCAGTCTGTTTATATGGCTACTTTTGCTTTAACTTTTGTTTTCCCTGTGCTTGTAATGCGTTTGGCCAATCACTTTCACTTGCCTTGTTAATAGATGTGGCTGCCTTGCTGATGCTTCATGTGTTCATATCCTAAATGTTTAAAAAGGCAAAAATACCTCTACATTGTGTGTGTTTTAAAAATTAAATGATTTCCAAAATAACACATTTCACTGTTCAACAAAGATTAGAAGCCCTTAGAGAAATTGATTTTCTGATACCGTGGATCCCCTGAGCCTCATCCCTCTGTCTCACTCTGCAGAACAGTTCACAATTGTCTGATGGTGAAAAGAGTATCAACAAATTTAAAGGATGTGTTTTTAGAAACTCATTCAGGGTTTGGATCAGCCTTTGGAGATGACAGTGCGTGTAACAGACGTTGAAGCCTCCAGCTTTGTTTGTTTGTTTGTAGCCTCTCTTTATCAGGTAAAAATCCCATTGAGAATCTCTTTTACAAGGTAGACCTGCCGCACATTGGTTACACATGTAACAGAAATACAACAGAAAACAAAAAGAACGTCATAAAACATAATGACAGGGGTACAATTTACAAACTTATTCACAATGGCAGGTACCAGGAGTGTCAAATATCATTTCATCCAGTTGTGCTTTAAAATGATGCAGGGGAACCAAAATGCTCATTTTCAAAGTGTTCCAAGCTAGAGGGGCTGCGCACATAAAAGCTTTAGTGCCTAAAACAGTCCTAGCACTTGGTACGTGTAATAAAAACACATCCTGGGACCTTAGGCAATAGCTACTTGCGACTCTCTGTGATATCAGTGAGCAGAAAACCAGTTTTTCGCCCGCTTTGACACCCTGGGAGGGGAATCTGCTCCACTCACCCACCTGCTGAGGAGACAACGCTGGTTCTACAGCACCATCAGATGAGGACCACTCTGAGGAAAATCAGACCTAGCAAAGCTGCAGGCCCAGACGGAGTGCACGGCCGGGTACAGAAGGCATGTGCGGACCAGCTGACAGAGGTCTTTACTGATTATTCAACCTCTCATTACAACAAGCTACTGTTCCAACATGCCTCAAATCCTCAACCATCATTCCAGTGCCTAAAAAGCCATCTGTGAAGTGCCGAAATGACTATCGCCCAGTCGCGCTTACATCAATAGTCATGAAGTTTTTTGAGAAACTGGTGCTTTCCCATATCAGAACAATCATCCCACCTGACCTTGACAAGCATCAGTTTGCCTACAGGCCAAACCCTCCACACCTCTCTGACACATCTGGAACTACCAGGCAGTTATGTGAGGATGCTATTTGTGGATTTCAGCTCCGCATTCAACACCGTCATGCCCCACAAACTGGTCAGCTTTGGCTCTTCACTTTGCTCGTGGGTCATGGACTTCCTGACTGATAGACCACAGCAAGTCAGAGTCGGTAAGCACCTACCATCCCCCCTTATACTAAACACAGGAACCCCACAAGGTTGTGTACTTAGTCCCATGTTCTTCACACGCAGTTTCGATATCAAATCAAAACACCAACCTGTCCCTCACCCACACTACCCCGTGTCCGAGACCCTTTCTTCGACTAGACAAACCACGCACTAAAATAACCTGGACTTGCAGCGGTCTGCCGTTCGCCAAGCTTGTCACTCACCGGCACACACACTACAGAGACTATGACGTACGAAAAGAAGACGTAGCTAGGACAGCTACAGACAGTTCCGACCCGTCGAGTCAGGGTTGCTCGCGAACTCGCGGAAGTGGTGGGCAGGACCGTCAGGAGCGAGACGCCGGACACATCGACCCATGGTGTGTCAATAACGTCCCAAGTCCCACGATAAGTTACCAGCTGGCCCCTGATCTCAAATGGTCGTAAAAACACCTTCGGACCGGACAGAGTCAAAGAGACCTTTTTGTCAAGACCCGACACTGGAAAAAGTGGTGCTCAAACTCCACAAACTCCCCAGGTACAAGCAAGGAAACACCTCTACAACTGAGTTCCTTGGATCCAGAAGGTGCGAGAAGGTGACGATAGAGGTACCTAACAACCTCCCCTCTCTACCTTGAGGGAAAACAGGAGGACCCTTTAGCGTTGTACTCAGGAATCAAAACCTGCGCCACAATCCGGTTCATACACGAGAATGTGGTCAGGCATCTACCAGAGGTGGAGCATCGACCCTCCACAGGAGGAATAACAAGACATTATCTGGCCTGTGACACCCAGAGCATAAGTACGTTTAAACGTATACCCTCGAAGCCTCAAGCACCTACCTCCACGTCAGTCAA